ATCATTATTATCTAAAAAATAAATCTTACAATTTAAGAATATTTTCTGGCTTTAAATAACCCGCAAAAGGTTGATAAGTCATAAAAAAAAAACGAATCAAACAATCAATACACATTAAACCGTCAGCGGGTCTCAAACTGCGGGACGTATTATTCAGCGTGCAGTGCGTTTGTCATGTTGAAATAGCTATTTTTAATTCTGGATTAATATTTTCCAGACATGCTTAGAGGTTCCCCAAAGAGTTCGTTGTCATCCCTGCCACTTCGTTTTAAGTATTATTGAGACATTACAGAGGCCTTAAACTCTCGAAGGTCCACTGGGCTTTTTAGGGTCGAAAGCGACAATCATTAAACTCAGGAAATAAAAATGTCAGCTTTAATTGTATATGTGAAAGCATCCATCTCAAATGTGTCTTTACCTCTTGATCATAAACATTGCTCCCACTTTGTTGGCGTCCTAAATAGCAAAACTAACATCAGTCTCTTTGGCCCTGTCAATAAATTCCAACAAAACTGCGTGCTGGGTAAGACAATAAACGACATTCGCGTCCTGGTTAAAACGATAAACTATGCCAGACAGCAAGGCCTCTGATCAGGAGCCTTTGAGAAGCGTGGAACCACCTCTTAATTGCTGGTGTTCACAGGTCCACCCTGACCCGGGGTGGTAGCTCCTGTTAGGGTCCCAGCTACGGGCACATAGTGAACCCCCCAAACAAAAACAAAACACTATTGATGTATAAAAATATTTTTTATAGTAAAAATACATTTTTATAGTATAAATACCAGCAGTATATTTTTATATAAAAAAATTACCAACAATACATTTTATAGCAAAATGACCAACAATACATTTTATCTATTGCTAAAGGCATGCAATTGCGTTCAAAATATATTTAGTGGAAGGCATAAAATTGTGTTCAAAATATTTAGATTTCGGCATTCAATAATCCATAGAGGTTGAAAAGTCGCTAAACAAAGTCATCCAACTAAAAATACCTATTTATAGTATATATTTAGTTGAAGCCATAAAATTGTGTTCAAAATATTTAGATTTCGGCATTCAATAACCCATAGATTATTGATGTATAAAAATACTATGCTATGGGCATTAATTAACTGGTGTCAAAATATTATGAAAGTGTAAAAATAGGTTTTAATACCAGAAATACTTTTTTGTGAAAAATTACCAGCAATACATTATTACTAGCAATACATTTTTAAAAAATACCAGCAATAAAAACTGTCGGTATTAAATAACCCATTTGGGTTGATATGCCCCAAACCAAACCAAACCAAACCAAATCAAACCGAAAAAACTGGCGATTTAACTTTATTCAAGATTCATTTACCAACCGGGGTGGGTCCACGTCTGATTGGAAACCTCGGGCAGTGCTGTGTGGCCTGCGCTTATTAATATTTGCTTTTTTTACGCTACAAATTAAACTAACACAACTAACTATTAAAAGATGAAATATTTTTGCTGTTTTTGACGTAATTCTGGGACTTTTTTCCCGCCCAAATCCGTGAATTGGTTTTGCACGTGTTAAGTCTCGAAAAAAAATCTCTCTCTATAAATGGCAATTTCTGTCTGTCTAAATCAAGTTTCTGCCTGAACCCGTGAACCAATATTGATGCAACTTTGTATACATGTTAAACTATCATCCACTTTGTTACTAAACAAATAGGATTTTTATAAAAATCTATAATGGGGCTGCTGGGACTACTAGATCGCAACTCGCTGCCGGATCTACGCGAAACACTTTTTTTTACAAGCAAGGGAGTTGTAGCTATTGCTATGTTTTTCCACGCCCACATTTTATTCGCCTGCGATTGGCTAATAAAACACTACTACCTTTATATAGGACAATTTAGCCATCGCAGTCGTTTCTTTGAATCCTTCGGTTTTGAGCTCGCTTGCTTGTTCTGTTAGTACGAGTGAAGTGATTGGTTAATTTTTAACCCATCACATATTTCAATGCAAGATTAAGTTTTCCCGCGTTTCCGTGGGAGCCTACCCTTTTTTCTTAAAATGGACGACTTTTCACAAGTCGTCAGTAAGATTCCAGCCATCAGCACAAATCCACGATCTTACTCATCACATTCCAAACGCACACACAGACACAAAATTTCGTAATATAAACTTGCATTTCTCTCTGTGACTTTGCCAAGTACAATCAACCAGAACTTTGTTGACTGAAACCATTCTATAACACAACACATTTTTAATTAATTGTATTCTTGTGTTATTTATTCTTAACATGCAAACTTGCTCTAATATTGATTTCTGAACATTTTTCTCTCAAGAGAACTTTCTTCGAACAATTAATTTCAAATCAATCTACAGTTAAAGTGGAACAACTTCTTTCCCTTAATCTATACATTGAACACAATTTTATTGCATGTTTGTTCTTGTATGTTATTTCAATATATATTTGTTGATTAACAATTTGAAGTTTTTTGTTGTTTACTTGAATCCTGTACGTTGGAAATATCGTTAATATAAATAGTATTGGTCCATCTACAATCCTCACCTTTACAAGATAATTGGTCTCAGAAACCTTTTAGGAATTAAGATAGACGTGTTACGAAATAATAACTCTTATAAAGTTTAAAATTCCTGACAGATATAGATCTTTGTTCGATTATTAAAATATAGGGGCAACATTTGAATTAATCGCAGGTTATTTTCTAGATAAAATCTTTATTTAACATATTAATTCAACATAAACTTTCTTTGAATACTGAGTAAACACACCACAGACATTGTATTTTTTTTTTGCTATATACTTTATTTAAATGTTAATTTACGTTTAAATGGCCGAATTGATCGAGCCATATTTTTTTCTATTTAATAAATTTGAACTTGGCAAATTTAATGGTGCATATGGCGAAACTGGAAACGAAATCATTTTTTCGCAATGTAAACGATTTATTATTATTATTGTTGAAGCTTGGATAAGCCTGGAATAATAATAATACAACACAAAATGTACGTAAACAAAATGTATTGAAACAAGGAAAAGGTACACAATATTTACAATTAGTTTTGGTATATTCTTGGGAAGACTGTTCCTGTAGAATGGGTTGACTTAATCGCAGTCGGGGCAGAGTCTCTGGATTGGATCTCTTCTTCCTCCCACTCGTCTTCCCGGTACCAACCATATTTATATGGTCGGTACTCCATTATGTAAATTAGGTGGATCGTACCACAACAATTATTTTTTTTTGCTACGTAAGTAAACTTTAAGTAAAGTTTATTTACATAGCAAAAAAAAAAAAAATTCGTTTCAAGTTTCGCCATATGCATCATTAAATTTGCCAGGCCCGAATTTATTAAATAGAAAAAAAATTGGCTCGATCAGTTCGGTCATTTAAACGTAAAATAACATTTAAATAGAGCTTCTTTGCGAATAGAAACTTTAGCTAAGCTCATATTCCAACCTCCATTTTAAAAAAAGCATATGGTGTTTGTGGTTGTTGTTGTCTGTGGAATGTTTGGAGGACACTTAATCTAACAAATAGACAATTGCGCTTTTACACGATTTGGACAATTTTGCTGTTACACCCGGCACTTATAGATTTTTGGTAAAATATTATTGGGACTTCAGCTCACTCCAGACCTCAAATGGAACTCGTTTATAAGATTCATAGCTGTTGATCATCAAAAATGGATGGTCTCTTATACCGCTCCAGAAAGTACTTAACTCATTTCGCAAGAACAGAGCATTGCTTTCATATTATCATATTCCATTAATAGGGAGGAATTTCCGCTCTAACAGAACAGTTGCACTGTGGAACAGACTCCCGAGAGAATGCTTCCCTGATTGCTACAAACTTAACCTCTTTAGATCTAGGGTCAGATGTTATTTATCGCATATATTTTCATATTAACCTCTTGATCACACTCTGTATAGCCTGTTACAACCTCATTCAGTAACTTCCTACCTTGAGTGGCTCTTGAGGCTTGTACTGGGTGAACAATATTCCAAAGTAACGGTGACAAATATTTGAGTAAACATCCCTGTTTTATTTAAACTGTGATTTTACGTCTACCGGCCTGTGAATTCGAGAGTCTTCATAAAGAAAATATAATTTCCAGTAGGGATCGAACATGCATCACGTTTGTAAGGGAAAACCATTATTAGCTTTAGAGTGCTCAGCCGTGGAAAGCATTCAAATGTTCAAAGCTTCTGTGGCTGAGCCAGCTAAAGTGCAATGGATCAGACGATGGTTTCTCTTTAGGCACGTTTTCTTTATTAAGACACTCAAATTCACAAGCTGGTAGATCTTAATTTAAATAAAATTCATTAATTTCTTGGAAATTACTCTTTGTTAGACATGAGTTTGGAAAAAAATGGAAAAAAGTGCGTATTATACATGAATAGTTATATGGACATTGCAAATCCTCTTGTATACTGTCTCACTAACACCTATCTCACCCTAGAAAGCGCATATAAAAATTTACTAAAATTAGCTTAATCTGGCACAAGGTCATCAGTATTGAGCTCCGAGTGAAGATCGCATTCACTACACAGTAAATTTCAGCCAGACTAGCTGACCGATCCCTATCCAATGACGCGGAACGAATATTAAAATTTACTAAAATTATTTTAATCTGGCACAAGGTCATCAGTATTGAAGCACAAGTGGGGATCGAACTCACTACACAGTAATTGTTAGCTAGACTAGCTCACCCACCCTATATCCTCATTTACTAAGCTTCCAATAACGAAGAGTTCTTTGTCTGCCACAAGTATGGGACATCCCGCATTCATTTTTTTTTCACGAAACTAGGCCATTTCGAAATCGACATTTTAGGTCGCCACATATTGAATGTGAAAGTGAAAGTGAAACTGTGCGGTCTAATTTCCGTTGGGAATTTGCTTTGTGTATCGATCGATGAGAAAAGTGCAATAAATCATCTCTACAATCATTTCTCTTATGTTGTCATTTCTCCTAATACATTCTTAATTGATGACGTGTAAACGGGGGAGGGGCAAGTTAGAGGTAAATAGAAAGATGCAGTGAGAAAATGTTTGAAAAGGGGCGGGGGACGAAATTTAGAGAAGGTTGGGGAGTGTCGAATAGAGGTCCATGAATTAAATGAGAGAAGAAAAGAAAGAAGAAGGATGCCGAAATAGAGAAAAGTGATTTATTGGTTCGAGTATCCGATATTGGTTGGCTGATTCTGTGATACTTGATATTTTGGCATCGACAAGTAGAAGTTTGGATGGAGAGAAGATGGAGAAAGACTAGAAGCTAACACAAGAGATTTCACTGCAAACAACAACAATCAACAGTTAAATCCCTTTTATTTTTAAGTAAAATATGCAAAGGGGTGTACGCCTATGTTTTATAGATTATACGAAAACATTTGGACAAAATTTAGACCTTTGGTTCTTGAGATTGTAGTGATCTCTCCTGGACGCAGACATTGTGTATGGAAGCCGTAATTGCATGCCCAACCCAACCTCTCAGCCATATCGACAAGACCCAAAGAAATACAGGACATTGGAGCCGACTTGGTTACAGGAGATGTCGCAAAGTTGTCAGTGTCGACAGCCAATCGCCTTCGGGGCTCCATTCGGGTTTTCTTGACTAAATGGTAATTGTTCAGATGAGCTCATCGTTAGGGTACCTAAACTTTATGAATTTAAGCACAGTACTAGATTAACAACAAGGTCTCATCAATTCATAGTTCAATAGGTTAGATGAAGCCATAAGTTCTATGCTAACAGCTTCTTTCCTCACACTTCTCGCTTATGGAACTTTCTTTTGACTCCATGCTTTCCAGCCAATTTTGACTTCAAAAATAAAAATGCAATATCAATCATTATCTTCTATCTTCTAGATCATTCTTCTATTGTTATCGCTCCTTAATAATGTTTCCGTTTTCTAATTCTTTCACGCTCAGTAACCACTTGTGTCTTAGTGGCTTTACTGCCTTGCATGGAGTAAAATGATTAAAAAAAATAAAAAAGGAAAGTGACCCATCATATTTTATAATTGTTCAGGCTTCTTCTACAATTTAATTTTTTACTCTGTAAATTGTAAAGCTTTATATTGTCAGCTCTGGAAGGGGTAACACAATGATTTCATTTGAGGAGACCACATTCTACAGTTTAATCTCTTTACTCTTAAAATGTTACCCGAATAGCTTTATTTTCGCAGTTAATAAAGACGATTGTCTCACAAAAGAAATTTCTTTAACCATTTTACTGTTTAATTTATTTGCATTTCGTGAAATATATCAAATTGCGAAATGAAATTTGCCTTGAATGCCCACTCTTCTAGATCTACGTACATTAATACGAGTGTCCCCCAGGGCTTTGTTAATAATTTTAATCAATCACTTCCCCGATGTCATCCGACCTCGTCTCGGTATCTATACTGGTGGCACAACTATTTAATACTGTCATAGTTTGATAAGGTCAAATCAGTGGCTCCCAACCTTCTTTTTGGCCATGCACCACATAAGGATCTCTAAAATCTTGATGCCCGTCACCACTGTGACATATAACTCTTATTAATCAAAAAGTGAACTTCTGTTTACGCGAAGGACGCCTAAAAGGTCAGTAATTTAACTTTCTTTGAGAACTTGAGAATGCATATGTGCAATAGTATTGTCATTTAATTTTAGAATTTTACAATATTTAGAATAATATAGATATATATCTATATATTATATACAGTACATATATCATTACACATTTACATACATACACACTGATATTTGTATGTATGCATACTATATATGCACCGTATGTATTAACTTACACACACACTCATACCCACACAGACTCACTAGAAAATATTCACTGTTAATAACTCATTCTCAAATTGCCCTTCCCACGCCTTAAGAATTGTCACCCTGTGGGGCGTATACCCCACTTTAGGAATTACGGGTATAAATTGTCAGCTGATCTAAAAAATGACTTTCAATCTGTTGTTAAGTGGAGCAAGAAATGACTTGTTAATTTTAACACCCCAAAACGAAACTGCCCTCTTAGGGAAGCTTTTTTTTTTGCTTCCATCAGTATGGCTGATGCTAACCTCCAGGAGAGTGGCACATTGCCCTTTCTCAAACTTACGTTTTCCGTTGACATGAAGTGGAACGATTATATTGAATCAATTACTAGGTCTGATACTTGGAAGGTTGGTTCATTGTGTAGTTCTAGGCAATTTTTCACGATTAAATCTCTCTTATATCTTTATACGTCTAACATTTTTCTATGCACTGAACATTGCTGCCACATCTGGTCTGGTGTTTCTGCTAGGTATCGAGAGATTCTTGATAACGCCCTAAAAAGAATCTTAGATGGTGAGCCTGGATGTGGTGAGCCTGCATGTGGTGAATTTGTTCACCAAAGTACCAACGGATGAGGCACTATCGGCAGTCAGGAACAGAGTGGCTTCAGACTCATTCCTAAGACAACTTGACTAGTATACCAATAGATAACCTGATGGAGATGGTGACTTTCTGTACACGTACAACACACACAGAATGGGATCAGACATATATCGACAGGATGAAGGGTTAGCAATGGGATCGTCATTATTACCAGCAATGGCGAACATATACATGAAATACTTTAAAGAAATGATATTAGAATCCACATCACTAAAGTCAACACGATGGCTGAAATGCGTAGATAACACCTTCGTACTCTAGACACACTAGGAAGAGGTCCAGCTACTACTGGACCATGTGAACTCAATAAGATCATCGATACAGTTCACAATGGAGAGAAAAAAAACAACAAACTGACATTCCTGGATTTAAAAATATCTCAAGCAGAGCATGGGTTCAAGACATCCGTATACTGCAAGCCAGCATTCACTGGTCTATACCTCAACTTCAACTCCCACCACCTATACAGTGTAAAGAAATGGATTGTCTGGGCAAAAGTATTAAGTAGCGACCCAGAGACACATGAACAAGAAATGGTTAGTATAAGCAGTACCCTACAACGTAAGAACTACCCTGGGTACATGACAGCAGCTCCGACAAACTGGGATAGAAGGGTACAAGAGGATAACAACACTCAGAAAATAGCTTCGGTCTTCCTACCCTATGTGAGGGGATTATCGGAAAAAATACAAAAGATCTGTGGTCCATATAACATCAGGGCGACCTTCAAAAGTGGTTCAACACTTTGCAGGCACTTATTCCGCGTAAGACCCCCCCACCCATAGAGAAGAACATGACTAAGAACTGTGTGTACGCCATCCCATGCAGGTGTGCTATGAAATATAAAGGAAAACAGGTCATCCCCTTAAGATAAGACTACAAGAACATTGTAAAGCTGTAAAATGAGGGGAAATAGAAAAATCAGGCGTAGCTGATCAGGAAAAAAGGGAGATCACCGTCTCTTGTGAGATGAGGTTGTATTAATAGACAGAGAACATCACTGGAAAATACGAAAACTTAAGGAATCAGCACATATGCTAGGCCACAAAAATCTCCAAAGCTGGCCAAGCATAGAAATGAATACAATATGGAAACCAGTAGTACAGAGAGCTAGAGAAAAGTAATAATAACAACAAAATTTCAATATGAGCTCTGGTAAAAAAATATTCCATTAACTTTGAATTATAGCTAAAAATAAAGCTTTAAGAAAGACTTTCTCATTTTTAAAAATACATTTTAAACTTTAGGTATCGCGAATCTGTGAACACACACACACACACACACACACACACACACACACACACACATATACATATATATATATATATAGAGAGAGAGAGAGAGAGAGACAAACGGACAGACAGAGAGCGTGAGAGAGTGACAGAAAAAATATCAGGAATATATAGAGAGAGAGACAAGCAATTATTCGGTGATAGAAAATATACCGGAATGAAAGAAAGAAAAAGAAATAGAGAGAAGAGAGAGAGAGAGAGAGAGAGAGAGAGAGAGAGAGAGAGTTATTCAGAGATAGAGAGAGAGACAGAGAGGGAGGGAGTAAATGAAGGAGAGAGAGAAAAAGAGAAAGAAAATCATAACATATTGGTGAATGAGTGGGAGAGAGAGATTGCTATTCGAAGAAGAGAGACAGACAGAAAATGTGTCAAAAAGAGAGAGAGAGAGAATGAGATATGAAGAGACAGATAATTATTGAAAAAGAAAGAGAGAGTGTGTGGCTGTATGTGTGTATGAGAGAGAATTATTCATAGAGAGAGAGAGAGTGAGATAAAGAGAAAACCTTAATATATCGGGGAGAGAGAACGGTCGTTATTCGGAGAAGAGAGAGAGAGAGAGAGAGACAGAGACAGAGACAGATAATTATTGAAAGCGAGAGTATGAGAGAGAAAGAGAGAGATAGTGTGTGTGTGTGTGTTTGTGAGTGAGAGAAAGAGAGAGAGAGAGAGAGAGAGAGATCAAATATATCGGGAAAAGAGCGGGAAAGAGAGGTTGTTATTCGGAGAAGAGACAGGCAGAAAATATGTCAGAGAGTGTTAGAGAGGAAAAGACAGATAATTATTGAGAGAGAGAGAGAGAGAGAGAGTGTCTGTGTGTGTGTGTGTTGGTCTGAGAGAGAGAGAGGGAGAGAGGGGAAAAAGATAATTATTGAGAGAGAGAAGAGTGTGTATGTGTGTATATCTGTCTGAGAGAGAGTGAGAGAGAGAGAGAGAGAGAGAGGAAAAGTCAGATAATTATTGAAAGAGAGAGAGAGAGAGAGTGTGTATGTGTGTGTGAGAGAGAGAGAGAGGAAAAGACAGATAATTATTAAAAGAGAGAGAGTGTGTATGTATGTGTGTCTTTCTGAGAGAGAGAGAGAGAGAGAGAGAGGAAAAGACAGATAATTATTGAAAGAGAGAGAGAGTGTGTATGTGTGTGTGTCTGTCTGAGAGAGAGAGAGAGGAAAAGATAGATAATTATTGAAAGAGAGAGAGTTTTTATGTGTGTGTGTCTTTCTGAGAGAGAGAGAGGAAAAGATAGATAATTATTGAAAGAGAGAGAGAGTATGCATGTGTGTGTGTCTGTCTGAGAGAGAGAGAGAGAGAGAGAGAGAGAGAGAGAGAGGAAAAGACAGATAATTATTAAAAGAGAGAGAGTGTGTGTGTCAGAGAGAGAGAGAGAGGAAAAGACAGATAATTATTGAAAGAGAGAGAGAGAGTGTGTATGTGTGTCCGTCTGAGAGAGAGAGAGAGAGAGAGAGAGAATCCCTCAGACTAAAACAGGTTAAAAATGGCAGGAAATCGCGATAAAAGCATGTACAGGAAAGAACATCGTGAAAACAGCGACCGGATTTGTCGAGAGGGCGAGGAGGAGGGGGAGGAGGGGGAGTAGGAGTATTAAGAGGGAGAGGAGGCTGCGTTGCCATGACAACAAATAGAATCAGGTGACCCTTTCGAATGGATCAATCAATGAAATGTGATCAGATGGCACCCCGCTCTCATCCACAACCCCCACCCCCGCCATCGTCAGTTTTTCCTCCGTCGATGTAACAGAGTTTTTGGTGGCAAGGCGAGGTTCTTCCGTTCGTCTGCAGGTGCAGCTGCACTTCTGCTGCAGTCTGTCATTCATGTGCAAAATTGGAACTAGGAAGACCTTGGATAACACAAACAGTCGCTCTGAGTGTCAACGGGGAAAGAAATGAGGGCGAGTGATATTAGACAGAGAGAGAGAGAGAGAGAGAGAGAGAGAGAGAGAGAGAGAGAGATGGAGTTGCAAATTAGAGAGAAGACAGAGAGAAAAATAAACTGAGACAGGAAATAAAAAAGAGAGAGGAAGACATAATAATGATTAGAAAGCCAGAAAGAAATGGAGAGAGAGAACAAAGAAAAGAGAGAGAGAGAGAGAAAGAGAGAGCGAGAGAGAGAGAGGGTAAAATAAATGGAGACGAGAGATAGAAATAGAGATAGAAGAAAATGGAGCGAGAGAGACAGAAAGGAAAAAGAAACGTAGTTCAGAGAGAGAAAGAGAGATGGGTGAACGAGAAAAGAAATGGAAACAAGAGTGAGATAGTGAAAATACATATGTGTGTTTGTGTGTGTGTGTGTGTGAGAGAGAGAGAGAGAGAGAGAGAGAGAGAATGAAAGTGAGTTCAGAAAGAGAAAGAGGGAGAAAAAGAGAAATAGAGACATGATAAAATAAAGAAAGTGATAAAGACGAAATACATTGAGACAAAAGATGGAGACACACAGAGAAAGATAGAGAGGGCGTGATGATAGAGTGGGCATTAGAAAGAGGAAGAGAAAGAAAAAATGAAGATGCGAGAAAGAGAGAGAGAGAGAGATAGAGAGAGAGAGAGAGAGAGAGAGAGAGAGTAATAAATGGAGATGAGAGCAAGAGAGAAAAGAAACGTAGATGAGAAAGAAGGGGGAGATGACAGAAGAGAAATAAAATAGAAACAAGAAGAGAGACAGAGACAGAGAAAATAGAAATGAGAAAGAAAAAAGAATTAGAAAGAGAGAGAGAGGGAGAGAGGGAGAGAGAGAGAGAGACGGAAAAGAAAGGAAATGGAAACGACAGAGAGAGATGGACAGACAGAAAAAAAAAAAAATGATAGAGAAATTGAGATACGAGAGAGACTGGAGAAAATAGAGAGAGAGACAGAGACAAAAGAAGAAACGAGGTCGAGGAAGGAAGACATTAAGTGGAAAGAGAGAGGAAAAGAAATATAGACGAAAGATTTATAGAAGGACGAATAAATGGAAACGAGAGAGAGAGAGAGAGATAGAGTAAAAGAGGAAAGAGGAAAATAAATGGAGAGGAAAGAGAGAAAGATAGAGAAGAGGGAGATAGAGAGAGAGGAGTAGAGAGAAAAAGAAAGAGAAAAATAAATAGAGACGAGAGAGAGAGGGGGGAAGAAAAATAAATGGAGACGAGAGAGAGAAAGTGAAAGAGGAAAATAAATGGAGACGGAAAAGAGAGAGAGAAGGAGATATATAGAGAGAGAGGAGAAAAAGAAAGAGAAAATAAACAGAGACAAGTGAAAGAGAGGGAGGGAGGGAGAGAAGAGGAAAAATAAATGGAGGAGAGAGGGAAAGTGAAAGAGGAAATAGAAAAATAAATGTGAACGAGAGAGAGAAGGAGTGGGAGAGGGAGGGAGAGGGAGAGAAAATAAATGGCAGCGAAAGAGATATATATATATAGAGAGAGAGAGAGTGAGAGTGAGAGAGAGAGAGAGAGAGCAAAATATACACCTGATGGAAACCCGAGGGGACAACGACTGAAACATTTTAATAACGTAAGCAAGATGAGGACAATAGTCCGAATGTAAATAGTGTAAATAAAGAGAAAGTAGTCTCATAAAAATATAATTTTCAAAACGAATAAAGAGTTTGGCGCTGTACCACCGTTTGTGCGTACATTTATATATATAGATTTTAATCGTTTCATCGTAAGCAAGGCAATAAAGCCACTAAGACGCAGTGGGGTGTTACTGAGTGTTAGAGAATATGAGAAAAAACACTATTAAGGAGAGAGAACAATAAAAGAACGAGAATTAAAACAGCAGTTGACGATTATCATTACATTTAAAGTTTTGACCATCAAAGTTGGCTGGAAAGCAAGAATCGCATCTGTACATTTGCCATGAAAATAGCGACAAAGTAACGAGAGGGTAGCAACGTTACGTCATTGAGGAAAAGGGTTGTAGGGTGGGAAAATGTTGAATCACCCACAAGGCTGCTCTTTGGAACTCTGCCAATGCTGGAAAGACGTGGCAGCAATACCCCAGTTTTGGATGGATCTGACTATTGCAAAGATAAAGCACATCTGGTACTTCCTGGAAAGACCAAAGAATCGATCATTTTTCCAGCAAGGCAAGGCTCACTTTTAACAGATGTTAAAGGCAAAAGGGGTGGGGGGTGACATTGAGAGTTTAACTCTAGAACACTAACCATCGGTATATAGTACCCAGCGCAAATTTTCCTATTTTTAATTACAATTTTCAGTACCTGATTTTCTTATAATATGTTTTTCATTTCCTGTTAATGTTAACTCAAAGTACAAATTTTGAAGTGCCTGTATGTAAAATATTTCAAATAAAGATTTATATTTAATTTTTTTTTTTTTGATATTTTCAAAATCGGGTATGATATACTCATTGTTAGTAGTGGTGTAACTTTAATTGATGGTTAATGTTCTAGAGTTAATCGTTGATCAGGTATAGAGAACATTATGTGATGATAATGACAATGGAAACGTTAGCCGTTTCCCTATAAGGAAACATTTTGTATTCATGGAGCGAGCAGCAGTACTGCTATTCTTTGAAATTTATTAAAACTTTCTCTTAAAACAATGTTTTCTGGAAAACAGGTTTCTCAAGTCTCGTAGCTGTTATCACTCTTTCCAGTATTGATGGGGCTTTCCTTCCTAAACTTTTATTTGAAATGGTGTGGGATGCTAACATCTTGATTATGTCATTATTTACTCTTCGAGTTAGATGTGCTATCTATTTTAGTTGTTGCTGCTGTTGGTAGTCCTCAGATGATGTAGTTTATGTCAGTGCTTCTCAAACTATTTGATATGGCGGACTGGCATTTTTTTCTCAATGTGTCACGTATCTGTAATATTTCATGGTAATATTAATTTATACCGGGAACGATATATATATAATGAATATCATAAAAGTTGACTATTTTTTTTATCTTCCATTTATTTTGCAAAAATAATATAATATCAAAACATATAAAAAGTAATAAAAAAATAAGCAGTTTATTAACACAAAAACAAAAATTATATAATATTAATCTTTATAAATGACTAGCAGCATGGCCCGGCGTTGCCCGTGCTTGATTCAAAAATCGATAGCTGCATTCGTCACAAGTGGGAAAAATTGAAATCTGCATGGCACTTTACTCCAGTTGGCTCATTCGCTTGCTCAAACTCAACGTTGATTCTGATTCTGCAGAACTGGGTTGGGTGTGAAAAAGTATTTGTTGTTAACATTCTTTTTTCATTCGGTTTTTCCAGTTACGAGTCCTTTTTTAAAAGCTGATCGTTTTCTATTCATTTTGTTTCGTAACAGATTTAATGTTTAGTATAGAGCTTAGAAAAAATTCGCAGTGTGAGATATACAAGAAGTAAGGAATGTAGCAACATCAGCACGGCAAAGGTCACTCCTTTAAAGGCAAGAAAGGGCAAAAATATTTTAAGTCAAGTGATAGCGATTGCTGTATGAGTCGTACGATTTTTGAATCAAGCACGGGCAACGCCGGGCCATGCTGCTAGTCATATATATATATTTACTGATAATACGAACATGTCCTCAGGCAGATCGATAATATTTTTTTTAATAATTTTAATCCATTGCATTTTAAGATTTGAAGATCAAAGTCGACTGGGAAGTAAGAAACCGGATGAGAGTTTTAAAAGCGAGAAGAGTGAGAGAAGGAACTGTTAGCATAGAACTTACGGTTACATGTAGCCATTTTAACTGTAAAATGATGAGACCTTGCCGCTAATCTAGTACTACGCTTAAATTCATAAACCTAGATACCATACAGGAAAGTTAATATTTAACAGCCCCACTCCGCGAGGGATTATGTGGCACAAGGCCGAATTTACCTTGGGTTCTCCGAAGCCGTAGGCTCGGCCAAAAATATTCCCTTAGAACCCGCATAAACAGGTTCAGGGCCTGTTTATTTCCCCCGACGAAACTTTACGCTTCGGCAAAGCCTCGTCCGGGTTCCTCTCTGCTCAAGGCAGAGAGTTCGACAGTAACGAACAATCTATTCGACTGTTCCCTATATATCATATAGGAAAGTTCATCAGAACAATTACCATGAAAACATTTATAGAATAGACATAAAGAGGTTACCTTACAGCGGTGGGAAAGTGACCGAAGCCGAGATTCCAGGTCAAGACTAATAATACTGCAGATTTTTATTTGGATTTTATCAAGAAGCTTTAAATATATAGCAGAAGTATCGCCAATCAGATCCTGAACTATCACCAATCACGATGAATGTATATTCCATCAGAGAGGCTTTGTAACTTGAACGCCTACCGGGACCTAAACCCTAACCTAGACATCATTGGTTTCCTGTATCGTCATCCTGGGTAGGACAATAAACTACATCCAACAGCAAGTCGTCTGATCAGGAGGATTTGAGGACCGTGGAACCACCTCTTAATTGCTGACGTTCCCTGGTTCACCCTGACCCGGGATGGTAGCACCTGTAAAGGTTCCAGCTATGGGCAAAACTGGTGTCAAAACTCTATGAAATTGTAAAAATAGGGTTTAATACCATCAACACATTTTTGGAAAGTAATTATCACCAGCAATGAATTTTTGAAGAAAAAATTATTACCAGCAATACATTTTTACCAGCGATACATTTTTGGAAAAAATTACCAGTAATACATTTTTGAAGAAAAAAAAAAGAAGATATTACTGGCAAGAAAAAAGATAATACCAGCAATACATTTTTGGAAAAAAAAAATTGCAGCAATACATTTTTAAAAAAATATTACCAGCAATAAAAATCTTATCGGCATTAAATAACTCATTGAGGTTGATATGCCGTAAAACAAAATAAGCCAAACCAATCTAAACCAATGAATACATATTCAATTCATACGAATCTATCCTAAAAATCTTATCGGCATTAAATAACCCATTGAGGTTGACATGTCGTTAAACAAAATAAGCCAAACCAATCTAAACCAAAGAATATATATTCTATTCATACGAATCTATCCTAAAAATGTTGTTGACATTAAATAACTCATTGAGGTTGATATGCCGTAAAACAAAATAAACCAAACCAATCTAAACCAAAGAATATATATTCTATTCATACGAATCTATCCTAAAAATGTTGTTGACATTAAATAACTCATTGAGGTTGATATGCCGTAAAACAAAATAAACCAAACCAATCTAAACCAAAGAATATATATTCTATTCATACGAATCTGTCCTAAAAATGTTGTTGACATTAAATAACTCATTGATATGCCGTAAAACAAAATAAACCAAACCAATCTAAACCAAAGAATATATATTCTATTCATACGAATCTGTCCTAAAAATGTTGTTGACATTAAATAACTCATTGAGGTTGATATGCCGTAAAACAAAATAAACCAAACCAATCTAAACCAAAGAATATATATTCTATTCATACGAATCTATCCTAAAAATGTTGTTGACATTAAATAACTCATTGAGGTTGATATGCCGTAAAACAAAATAAACCAAACCAATCTAAACCAAAGAATATATATTCTATTCATACGAATCTGTCCTAAAAATGTTGTTGACATTAAATAACTCATTGAGGTTGATATGCCGTAAAACAAAATAAACCAAACCAATCTAAACCAAAGAATATATATTCTATTCATACGAATCTGTCCTAAAAATATTGTCTGCATTAAATAACACATTGATGTTGATATGCCGTAAAACAAACCAAACCAAACCAAAAATAAACAAAACCAAACCAGCAATACATTTTGGAAAAAAAAAACAAAACAAACAAAACGAAACAAACAAACAGACAAACAAAAAAAAACAATTACCAGCAATAAAAATCTTGTCGACATTAAATAACCCATTGAGGTTGATATACCGTAAAACAAACCAAACCAAACCTGTATCGTTTCTGTAGATACCTTACTCCTGCTATCCTCTACCTTTACAAGAGCCAGATCAGTCTAAAAAATCGAGTATTGTTGGCATATATGGACAGGAGCTGCCCAGTTTCGATAGAGTCCAAAAAGCGTCTCCGCGTGCTTGTGGGTTATAAATTATTTCCCACCCTACAACCCTTAATCCTCAAATGATGTAGTTTCTGTTATTTAGTAAAGTTCTTTGGTTGTGATTCTGTAGCGCCAGTTCAAAATTTTCAAACAAGCGTGATCTTTCAGGCTTTACTCGCTGAAAATCTTTTTCACCGTTGATCTTAGGAAGTGGTTTGCATAAGGCTGACAGTTTAGATATTTCTGAACGGGTGATGATACGAGCTGTTTATCACAGGCTAAACGTTGCAAGCTTCTCACTGTTCTATCGCTTTTTCCATGAACAGTGCTCAGACGTACTACATTCCTTAGTTCCACCAGTTCTAACCTTCACAGCTAAGACCCGCTATAGTACGCCCATTGTAGCGAACCACCTTCATTCCCTTCGTATTCCATTGGTGAGATGTAAGTGTCATTAGAGTAGCTCCTTCCCACGAACCGCTACTTTGTGGAAACGACTCCCTAGGGGATGCTTCACCAATCACTACAATCTTTATCTGTTTGTCCAAGGTTAACCATTTTCCATGTATCCATACAAACTGTGCCTCAGTAACTCTCTACCTCGAGTGGCTCCCGAGCCTCGTACAGAGCGAGTAAAATTGAAAAAAGAAGAAAAAAAAAGAAGCACCAGACAAGATGTGGCAGTAGTATTTAATACATGGACGGGTGATAAACTTATAAATATTCAAGAATATTAAGCAGAAAGAAGATTGGACAAAATAAAGAGTTTTTTTTTTTTTTTGGGGGGGGGGGGGCGCCAACACTAATATTTAGCTTAGGTAAGGCGTTTAGTGTAGGGAAAGTACAAGCAAAACAAGCCAGAAGTGAGATGAGTTCAGTCAAGCCATCTTGTTCTAAATGCATGTGAGACTCCAACGTTCTTAAAATTGGTCACAGGATGAAAAAGAAAAGTGAAATGTGGCGATAAACGCTCTCAAATCGAGTCCACCAAGAAATCTGATAGAATTACAAGATAGTAAAAGTCGATATCCTACAAAAATGTTGACAGATATTGACTATGCAGATGGCCTAGCGATTACCAATGCCACAATTCTCCTACATCATCTAAAAAATGCTGCCAATGATGTTGGACTCTATGTCAATGCCCCTAAAACTGAATTGATAAGCTTCAATCAACAAGGCTCAATATGAACTGTCTCAGGTGTATCAATAAAATCTGTCGAATCTTTTACATACCTCGAAAGCGAAATAAATTCCACTGAAAAGGATGAGAAAATTCGCATAGCTAAGGCCTGGACTATCTTGAATAAAATGAATGTAATCTGATCTACTAGACAACCCCAAACAGATTCTTTTGCGCCATTGTAGAGGCAGTATTACTGTATTGGTGCTACTGCTTGGAAATTAACTAAAACCCTACAATATAAGCTTGATGGAATTTACACTCGGATGCTGAGATCTATACTTAACATCTCTTGGAGACAACATCAAACTGAATCACAGTTCTATGGACCCATCCCTAATATTTCTATAATCTTAAACCCTAGAGTATACACTTGATGGAACCTACACTCAGATGTTTAGATCTATACTTAACATCTCTTGGAGGCAACATCCAACTAAATCCCGGCTCTATGGACCCATCCCTAATATTTCTATAATCTTAAACCCTAGAGTATACACTTGATGGAATTTACACTCGGATGCTGAGATCTATACTTAACATCTCTTGGAAACAACATCCAACTAAATCACGGCTCTATGGACCCATCCCTAATATTTCTATAATCTTAAACCCTAGAGTATACACTTGATGGAATCTACACTGGATGCTGAGATCTATACTTAACATCTCTTGGAAACAACATCCAACTAAATCACGGCTCTATGGACCCATCCCTAATATTTCTATAATCTTAAACCCTAGAGTATACACTTGATGGAATTTACACTGGATGCTGAGATCTATACTTAACATCTCTTGGAAACAACATCCAACTAAATCACGGCTCTATGGACCCATCCCTAATATTTCTATAATCTTAAACCCTAGAGTATACACTTGATGGAATTTACACTCGGATGCTGAGATCTATACTTAACATCTCTTGGAAACAACATCCAACTAAATCACGGCTCTATGGACCCATCCCTAATATTTCTATAATCTTAAACCCTAGAGTATACACTTGATGGAATCTACACTTGGATGCTGAGATCTATACTTAACATCTCTTGAAACAACATCCAACTAAATCACGGCTCTATGGACCCATCCCTAATATTTCTATAATCTTAAACCCTAGAGTATACACTTGATGGAATCTACACTCGGATGCTGAGATCTATACTTAACATCTCTTGGAAACAACATCCAACTAAATCACGGCTCTATGGACCCATCCCTAATATTTCTATAATCTTAAACCCTAGAGTATACACTTGATGGAATCTACACTTGGATGCTGAGATCTATACTTAACATCTCTTGGAGACAACATCCAACTGAATCACAGTTCTATGGTCCCATCGCTGATGATTCTACAATCTTAAAGCCTAGAGTCTGTGCTTGATGGAACCTTCACTCGGATGCTTAGCTTCATACTTAACATCACTTGTGGGATAACATCCAATTAAAATTACAGCTCTATGGACCGATTCCTGATATTTCTACAATCTTACGCGGACGCAGAATACGCTTTACAGGACACTGCTGGCGAGCAAATCAAAAATTCGCGATTGATTTACTGCTCTGGTCACCTAGCCATGAAGCAAGACTGGTTGATCACCCCGCAACTACCTACATTGAGCAGTTATGTTCTGACACAGAATTCCCCCATAATGATCTTGATATAGGATCGTGATGGTTGGCGCGATAGACTCACGAATGTCCGAGCTAGCTCGAGCGAATAATAAAAGAAAAGCATGATGAAAGGACGAACTATCAATTATAAGCATATAGAATGTATGGTTATTAGCAAGACGGAGAGTCCAGTTGTGAGCTAAGAATTGGAGACGTTAAAATCAAACAAGTACAGAAGTTTAAATATTTGGGAATGGTTTTAACAGATGACGGTAAATGTGGCACGCCAATTCGAAGTCACATTGGAATAGGAAAATATAGTTTTAATAAGCTAAAGTATTAAGAAACAGGAAATAGAAACAAGATTGCTGAACTGCTATGTAATATTAATCCTCCTATATGGCAAAGATTATTCGGTACAATTTCCTCACAGTTGAAGAAAAGACCTCAGGCAACAGACAAGTGATTGCATAAAATGAAGCTGATGATTACACGGATGGAGCATGTGAATAACAAGGAAATT